GTAACAATAAAAAATGTCACATGCTAATCAACTCTTGCCACATGGCGATTAACCCCGTCACGTCAATACCTCATACTTTCATGTAGCTATGGGCACTAAAATAGAAAAAAAAATATTAGGCATTAAAAAAAAATTAAAGATTGGATACTAAATATGTAGTGTTTTTAAGAAATTTATTGTCTCGAGATTGCAAAATTAGTCAATAATTTCTAATAAATATTTTTCATATCATACTCGTGACATTTTTTTTTTACTTATTAATGATAATTTTTAGTACTCTACGAGTTAAAAATTATTTTAAAAAAATTCTAAATCATTTTACATGTCTAAACAAACTTAGAATTATGTCCTTTAATCCAAATATATATAAGATCTAATTAAAATTAAATTTAGAAAAATAAAAGACATATAAAATCCAATCATTATTGCCATTTAGGAACAAATAGTTGGTCAATGAAGAAAGTTATAAAAAATAAAAATTGCTTTCTCTCGTCTAAGGAGAAAATTGACCAACATATAATGGGTGACATAAGCTTATCGTAGCTAATAACTTATCGAAGTTCTTACGATAAGTCGAGATGAGATAGAATCGACATAAATAAATTTAGTGATCAAACTTTTTAATTTAAATATTTAATGTGCAATAGTTTTTTTTGTAAGATGATGATAATCATAGAGATAATAAGTAAACTATGAATTAAGTTAAAAAGTAAATGCATTGTTAAAATTACTTATGCAATTAGCATAATAATAAGAAAATATGCATACATATAATTGTCGATGTTTTTTGAATTTAAAATTATATGACTTTTAATTCATAAAGAAAGTTATGAGAGATTATAGATGTATAAAGATTATAAAAGTACAAAAAATGCATGAAATCCATTTATAATAAAAATAGGATATATCAGAATATAAAAAGGGGATAAACATTTATTGTGAGAAAACTAAAAAATATTTTTTGAGAAAAACATATTTTTGTGGTCCAACTATTGGTATTTTTTTTTCTTAGGTGCCAAATCTTTAATTTTTTTCTTATTTTAATGCCCAATCTTTGTTTTGTTTTTTTTTTTTCCTATTTGAGTGTCCATAATTACATGAGAATATGAGATGCTAATGTGGTCGGGTTGATTGTCACGTGGTAGATTTCATTAGAAACGATAACGAAATCAGGATTCAAGTGAACTCAGACATCAAAACAAATAAAAAATCAAAATTTGAATAATCAATTATGAAAAATCAATGATTGGATATCAAAATAGGAAAAAAATAAAATAAAATTAAGGTTGGACACCAAAAAATTGAAAAGGTTGGTACTTTCTAGCAGCTGTATGCACGATTCTCTCAATCTAGCCCTTTCCTTTTGACCTGTCTAAAATTTTCCGTGGTGCATCGTGACAATAATGTGGTTTTTGGAACGGTCTTTGTCCTTCATGTATGATGCAGATGTGTCTAAATATAGATCAAAATTTGTGAGGTCAAATCATAAACTTCTGTTTTTAACTGTCATCAGATATACTATGGTACCATTATTTTCAAAATTTGGTCAGTTTTCATTTAAAACAAATATGGATGGAAAATACTCCTACTAGTTGCCACGTAAAAAATAGTACTCTTTTCACACTGCAAGGATCACAATGTTGCATAATATGCGCAATTATTTCTCATGCGAAAAATGGTTACCATGGAATCAATTATAAGGATATTTTCAAAATTACTTTTTATGCATTGACATTAATCCTTTCTTAATCAAGTTTTAAATAAATTATTGATATTCAAAAAAAAAAAAATTTCTCCTGTCCTCTGTCTTAAAATTTTAACTATGAATGATGCAATAAGGAATACATTTTTAGTCGCAAAAAGATGCAACTTAATTTTGATTTTACTATCTTCCTCGATTTTTACTTTTATTTGGAAAGCAAAAAAATTGCTATTTCCGTGGAAAGTCACTGTTGTGCGCCTCCGCCACGTCTTCGCTTTATATATTCCGTGGGTCCCTGCGAAAAGATCAGAATCTTTTTGAACTTTCTGCATCGCATGTATACCCAGATACTAATCTTATCGGGGCATGACTGCCCGAGCAAGTTCGACTCCTGTCGATCATTCATTATTATTCCAGTCTTTTTTTTTTTTCAAAGCATCGTGTTTCGCTATTTCTTCAGAATTAAATGAATCAATGCCATAAACCAGTCTCGTGCACCACCAATACCAACGGAGTTAAATGAAAATAATATGGCCATGGAGTAGCAGACGCTTTATTCGATTAAATATATATATATATATATATATATATATAAAACCTTAATCCTGTTTTTTTTTTTTTCATTCTAAAATAACATGCCATAATTGAATGAAAATACCCACACTTATTAAATACCTGTTAAAATTACAGATGGCTAAAAAAACTAAAATCAATAAAAAAAATACTACTATAAGATAAAAGAAAAGAAAAGAAATGTTCATGTATAGAACATGTTTTCCACCCAGTCCGTAATATTTTGCAGAAAATACCAAGTTTAGCTATAGTTGATACAAGTCTTGTAAAAACAATTACTAAATGCAAATGAACTTTTTTAATGTTTCAAAAACATAGCATTGAGATTTCCTCTCCCAATGGCTTGAGATTTCCCACAGTTTCTCTCTTTGAATTAAATCCTAATTTCAACTTCTATTTATACTAAAGAATCGTCCTCTTCACTCCAAAGATCAATTCCTTTAAATCCAAAGCTCCCTTACAACATAAAAAACTTTCTAACTTATTGTTAGTTTTGACTCGTAAAAAAATTATGATTTATATCTCGTGCATTATGCTTTGTTTATTTTTATGTTTTTGTTATACGGATGCAAAAGCTATAAGCATCGGAGCTACACATGCTGACTAGGTTTGTTCATTTGACCATTAATGGAGATAAACAATGCTAGGGTGTAGGCATAGTATAAGGCAAGTGTGCCGTGACAGAGTTAGGAGGATTTAAATGAGAATTCGTTAGGGTTGACTCCGAATTAGTCTTGCCATTCACGTCTTATGTTAATTTAGTTTTATGTAGGATTAATTTTGTTAAAATTACGGATGGCTAAAAAAACTAAAATCAATAAAAAAAAAAAACTACTATAAGAGAAAAGAAAAGAAATGTTCATGTATAGAACATGTTTTCCACCCGATCCGTAATATTTTGCGAGAAAATATCAAGTTTAGCTATAGTTGATACAAGTCTTGTAAAAACAATTACTAAATGCAAATGAACTTTTTTAATGTTTCAAAAACATAACATTGAGATTTCCTCTCCCAATCGCTTGAGATTTCCCACAGTTTCTCTCTTTGCATTGAAATTCTAATTTCAACTTCTATTTATATCCAAGAATCGTCCTCCTCACTTCAAAGATCAATTCCTTTAAATCCAAAGCTCCCCTACAACATAAAAAACTTTCTAACTTATTGTTAGTTTATACTCGTTAAAAAAATTATGATTTATGTCTCGTGCATTATGCTTTGTTTATTTTTATGTTTTTTTTATGCGGATGCGAAGTTATAAGCATCGGAGCTACACATGCCGACCGGGTTTGTTCATTTGACCATTAATGGAGATAAACAATGCTAGGGTGTAGGTGTAGTATAAGGCGGGTGTGTCGTGACAAAGTTATGAAGATTTAAATGACAAGTCATTGGGGTTGATTCCGAATTGGTCTTGCCATTCGCGTCTTGTGTCAATTTAGTTTTATGTAGGATTAATTTTGTTTCAATTGTATCACTTGGGCATGTCATTACCGTTCTTATACTTTTAATTTTTTCAACCGAGCCTTTATATCTTGTAATTTCAGCTCTAATACTTTTTTATATTTTGTATATATTTTTTGTATTTTTTATTCTTTTTTTTGGTAGTAAATACCAAAATTAAATAAATAATAAAATAATAATAATAATAATAAGATAAAAAAGATATAATAAAAATAAAAGAAATAAAATTGAAGGAAAATATATAACCCAGAATTTGGGTTATCAAAATTTTTATAAAATCTAAATTGATTGAATATCAACAATTAAGTTTTCATTCTTATAAATTAGTGGGTGGTTATGAGTTTTTTCGATAACCAATAGTTATTATTTTATGATTTTTTTTTTGTTGACAATAAGAATATTTTTTAAACCAATTTGTATGTTAATTAAGATTTTTTTCTTGACAATCTTAAGAGTGTACTCTTATATAAGTTTGATACTTTCAGAGGAATTTAATAAATTATCTTGAGTGTTGATTTTTAGATTTGAATTCAAAAAGTCAAGAAATAAAACAAACTTTCTTAATCACTAGACCAATTATTTAAGATTATTTTACAAGTATTCTAACCATTGACTTCAAATTAATACTTTAGATCTCACAGCATTAGAGGATGCAAATCCAATGGCTTAATTATAAGGACCTAATTGCAAAAACCTTTTTTAACATAGGAACAAACATGCATTTAAAAAACAATATATATACGTGAGGACTGAAAACCTTCTAATCGATGACTTATTTCAAAAAATATTATTAAACAAAAGAATTAAAACAATTTTTATAAAAGAAAAGAAACAAAAATGAACATGAGTGAAATTCTAACTTCTGCGATGACGACTGGATGAGCCAGTCATGGAATAGGCATGTATATGCCGTGGTATGGATTTGTCGAATGATCATTTAACATACACGGGCCGAGTACTGGGCACAACCTTTTTAAGTGGGTAGGATTCGGGATTGGTTTAATGGGCCTGTCCCAACCCATTTCCATCCGCACTCCAAACCCATACTTGAAACATGCCATAACGACGCACAGCCCTCCAACTAAAACCCTAACAAAACCCTAGGACCTAAGTCTAGAACCTTCTGTTTCTCTCTAGAGAAACTTGATCTCCAATCTCTTCCTCACCTCTTGCAATATACGCTCTTGTTTTAAAAGGAGAGATCCAGAACTGAAGCTTCGCTCTTTCAATTTGCCAAAATAGAGTTTGTTAGAAAAATAAGAGAATGGCAAAGCGCTTGATTCCTGCCCTTAACCGTGTCTTGGTGGAGAAAATCATCCCTCCCTCCAAAACCACTGCTGGAATTCTCCTCCCCGAGACATCCACCAAGGTATTTCGATCCCTTTTGTTTTTTCTATACTTCTATGTGAACCTGTTTCTTCGTTATACTTAAGATTAGAATTGAATTTAAGTGGTTGTGATTTGTTTTGGATGGAAACAGCTGAACTCAGGAAAAGTGATATCTGTGGGTCCTGGGTTAAGGAACTCTGAAGGGAACACCATCCCTCCAGCTGTGAAGGAAGGTGACACTGTGCTTTTGCCTGAATATGGGGGTACCCAAGTCAAGCTTGGTGAAAAAGAGTATGTGCTTTATTTTTGACACCCTCAGTTTTGATAATTTAATCTTTGGGTTTTATGATATTCCTTTATTGGCTTAATTATTTATTTATTGTTTTTGTTGGGTGTTTTTTTTCCTTTTCTTGCAGGTATGTTTTGTATAGGGACGAGGATATCTTGGGCACTCTACATGAGTAGAGATTGGCTGTTGTCCATTTAAATGGGTTCTTTTTGTTTTTGGGTTTAGGCCTTGGTTTCTATTGATGCAACTGTTAACAAATTGGGGATTTTTAATTGAATTAAAGTTAGTCTACTTTGGAATGCGATAATGGCAATTATCTCTCTCTATTTTTTTTTTTTTTTTTTTAAATTTCGTGGAATAAGTAAATAACGGAAATAAGTGTTGGTTATTTTGATGATGGCTTTCGTATTAATGAGGCTTAGGGTACTACAGTGTATTTCATGGTAGAAATGGCTAGCTTGGCTATTAAGTGTGACTATGAGATTTTGATGTGGAATTTGTCATTGTTATTGTCAGCATAGGTGCTGATGTATTAGAAACAATCAGCATTGCCTTGACTGATTATAGCAAATGAGTCGTGGATGAATGGCTAGGTACATAGGTTGATGTATCCATTGATGCTAAATACCATCAATGGTTTGATGAATTGGTGTTTTACACTTTGATTGTTTCAAGACTAATGATTCATCATTCCAAATATTACACTTAAATGACCTTTGTGGATGTATCTCGTTTTATAAATGGGGTTTTATCTCTTAGTTGCTAGTTTGCTCGCGAGTATGCATGGTATGATTATTTTAATTTGTAATCTCTTATTGGTTGTTGCTTTGAGGAATTTGGTTTGGTGTGTGTGCCATGAGATGCCAAGTAAGGTTTAGATTTAACTTAAATTAAAATTCAGAGCATGCATGATTCTCCAAAAAGGGGATGAGCCGAAGAGGTGTGATAACAGGATCTAGGTCCTAATGAGTTAATTTTTCGACAATGATGGTTATTTAGGGTCTCGCAGACATGGACGCTTGAGTTGAAAACATGGTCTCTGCTTTGGAATCGAGATGCAACTCCCAGACAACTAGTTCTGAGACGTAGGTCGTTCTGGAGATACGTTGTTTATACGAGCTTGGCATGGTAATTGTTGGAATTATCATGGTTACGAAAGGTCATTTCCAATTGTTCTAATTGTTTTACGATCTGCACTATTTTAAAGAAGGAATAACCTTTGGTGATGATCGGCGTATTAAGGGTGGTGAATTTGTTCCAGTCAAAATGTTTTTGTCATTCAGATCTCGCAGGACGATCAAACAGTGGATGGCAACTGGCAACGTTGTTAATTGATGAAGTCACTTTGTCCACTCTCTACCTTCTTATGAGACTTGTGTCCACTCTCTACCTTCTTATGAGGTCTTAACATCCATTTCCTTGCACTTCCTGAGGCTGTGATTGAGGAGAGAAACAAGGTACACAACTGGACAACCATGAGTTATTTTCCAAGTATATAGGCTAATTAGGCACTACCTATTAGAAAAAGACACACGACGAGACGCACTCATCATAATACCCAAAGGATGAATTATATTTTAGTGATTAAAGCAAATTATGAATTATATTTTAGTCCTTTAGAGTTTATAGGTGTATGATTAGGTCCTACACTAACCAAAAAAAAAAAAAAAAAAAAATGAAAATATCTAATCTTTCTATTATTTTTCGCCTAGTGACGACCTAGAATTTTTTTTTTTTTTTTCAGTTTGGTCAATTATTTCTGAAAAAAAAACAACTAATTTTTTTTCTTCAAATAAAATTGTACGTAAAAGAAGATTTGAAAAAAATAAAAATGTGTACATGTTTAAAAAAATATTCCAGAAACCTCTTTTGCATCCAAAATGTCCTTAGTTACTATTTTAAAAAGATATTTAAATTAAAAAAATTAAAAAAAGAATATAAAAATATGGAACTTGATTATTTTTAGTACATGAACAATATTAATTTTACAACTTAATTTAAGTTAACTTTGTTTTGAATTTTTTTAATATTTTCTCTATTTTTTTTTTAAATTCTTAATTTAACTATTATTTTTTCTACGAGTGATGAAGGTCATTTTAGGTAGAATAAAAATTTTATATTTTTCAATTTTTAGGCGATTCATGTAATTCATGATGTCTTAAGGGGTTATTGTAATGTACTTTACATATATATATATATATATATATATATATCAAATGACCAAATTTACTATTAAAATTGATTCTATGTTGTTAGATTAGAAATAAAAATATCAGAAAACCTTTGAGACAAAGAGTTTAATGCCAATTAAATGAATTTGTTGTGAAAAAAAAAACCAAATAAAAGGTTGTGAATGAAAAAATAGGTGAAAGAAAAGTAAACTTGTTATTTTTTAAAGAAAGAAGATAAAAAAAAAAAGAAAAGAAAAAAATTGAATTGTGTGGTCAATCAGAGTTTTTCAATATTTTTAATAGAGCCAAGCTAGTAAAATCATTCAAAAAATCATTAATTATAATAAATTTCAATTATTTTTTCTAATCACTAGGTAAACACATGTCTCTATTTATAATTTTGATCTTGGTGTCTTGATAAATGAATATAAATACGTAAGATATTAAGTGTTAAAATACTGGGGAAAAAAACCCCTTAGCTTATGTACTAATTGGCAAAAATTATCAATGTAGGGAGTGTTTTATATTCTAGTATCAATGCCTAATACTGAAGTGAAATTATGAATATAGACAAAATAAGATAAGAATCAAATAATTATATCATGGTCCTTAACTATTGGATTGGAAAATGTCTGTCACGATAGCACGAGTCGCTTTCCACATTTGCTAAGAGAGGTATTACATTTAATTCGGTGGCAATTTCATGGTCTGCACTAACGTCAGGTGATGGGACTAATTCTAGTTTCCCTAAGGACACTCGTAATGGAAATTGATTTTCCCTTTCTTCCCGTCTCTCCCCATCCCAAAATTTGGAGAGCTGCTTTCTTCTTGCGCACGCATTTGAAGCGCTGCTTTCTTCTTGAGCACACAAGGCGAGGCAACTTTTCAAGTCAACCTCACCTGCCCTTGTTCGATCATGGAAGAAAAAACTACATTCAGTGTACTCGTTCCCTATCAATTGCTTTTAGACTCTGAGCTGTAGATATGGTTGGTCAATTTAATGGTCTCTCCATGCGAGCAAATCTTAACAAATTGTTGCTCTTGCAAATGGAATGTTTTGGGGGGCGGAGATCAAGGAACATAATTTCTTATGTTTATCCTTTGAATTTAAATCAATGGTTAGGATTTGATTGCTCTGCTTTCTTAGTCTAAAAGTTGAATTAAGATAGAAACAAAGAATTTGGAAGTATAATCCTTCTCTTTTTCCTCTAAAAGATAAACACTAAGCATTTCAAAAAATACTAGTAGTAATAATAATAATAATAATAATAAATCCTAAAAAGTAGGTATTAAAAGGAATTTCTCTTTATCCTTTGCAAACAAAAATCTTAACTATAATCAATGATAAAACCATCATTGATTTAAAAGTCATTATCTATTTTATTATAGATACTTCAAAATTTTATAGTCCGAGTCATTCATTTAAATTCTAAGGCTAGGATCCCAATCCTTTTTGGGGCGCATTACGAAGGGCGATGGAAAGAAATTTGTTGGCCACTTCGTCATTTTCGGTGTTGGAGTTTTCAAGAGAGCTGGCAATGAATACTTGAATAGAGAGGTCTGGTGGAGCATAGTGCTGAGAACCCAACTTGCTTATCCTTGATCAAACTGGGCCTCATAAATTTGCGATCTGTACCATTTTCATATAAGAAAAAAATGGGTATCCCAACAAACCTGCGAAACAAAGCAATTACAGGCCAACGGGGGAAGAAAAGAGACTCGAAGAGGGCACATCACATGAAACTCTGTGCGATGTGGATGTTCATGACTGGCAAAACTGTAGTAATGCGTTTCTGTAAGATACTCATGTACAATTGTCTTATGGTTATATATGACTATTATAAATTACTACAAGAAGCACCTGGATTAGAATTATTTAAGCTTGTCAGCCAATGGTGAAAAGAAAGGTGTATCAAGTGGTCTCACTCAATAGATCCACGAACCATCCCAACATAGAGTGTCTCCATAATTGAGTTTGCTTCCATTGATTTAAAAAATCATTGCATTGTTTTCAAGTTTCATCTCACATGCTTGTCAAGCATTTTTTATGATCAAAATTAGGCCCGGCCCCATTTGTTTAGGAACGAAGGTTTGTGATATTCTCCGAATTTATTAGTTCTGTCTTACAAGACAAGGTAATTGTACCAGGCAATCAAAGCACGAATAGGTCTCCTAAGAAAAACATTTCAGTTAGGAGTGTTTTAGAGCTCGTATATTCCAACCACTGGCGATGTGTTTTTTTTTTTTTTTTTTTTTAACATAATAATTAAGATATTATCGGATTGGTTTTTAGATGCCAACATCGAATCCTTCCTAACCATGTTTTTGACAATAGTTCTACATTTGAATCCTTCCAAGAAAAAGGGAAGGGAAAATATTGAAGGGGCAAATGGACGTGGCGAATGATGACAGAGGAGAGTGGGGATGCTTTTGTTTTGCGCTACCAGGACACAAAGGAGAGGGCAACCAACAACACGCCAATGACACTACTCCATTGCGCCTGGTCATGGCACGTGCTCCCTTCTAACCGATGGGCATTGCTAGCATATGATTACTTGCACTACAGGTGCTTTCCTGTACCTTTTCTTCCTAATTTTGTTGATTTATGCAGCCTTACGCAAATTACAATTGCTCTTACTTCTCTTTTAGTTTCGTTTTTTTTGGATAATATTCTTTTGGTTTCGAGAGGAAGTGGAAGCAAAGCTAGTCGCTCCTATGCTGCTTGTAAATATTGATAAATCCAAACAATTTTGCCTTGTAATTAATTAATTGTACAAAATACAAATAATAATAAAACGCTAGAATAAAATGCAATAAGTGGACCATCATTAAAAAAAAAATTGTTATCGTTAAATGATAAAAGGATATATGAGTGATGTCAAACCAAAACTAATTTTTTTTTTCAAAAATTTAAAAGACACTATCTTATATAGATTTGGTTCATTTTTTAAATATATATATATACTTCAAAACTAAAAATCAAAAAATTAAAAATTAAAAAATAAATCTTCTCAACCATCCAATCCACTACTTAAAGTTTTTATTAAGATAATAAATCATCGATATATTTATTTTCTTTCTCAAAATGAAAATACTCGAATAACATATAACGAGCATAATAAACCGCGCTTGATTAGATTGTTTTTATCCGTTATTTTTTAAGTCTGCTGCAATTGTGTAATTTTTTTCTTTTTTTGAAAGCTACATTAAAAATTACAAATCTTCCCTTAAAGGAAAGATGCAAACACAGAATAATAACATAAGCTTCCCTTCTCAGTGTCCTCAAGTTGGTTTTTATCGTGAAGATTCAATTCTCTCTTAAATCAATTGTTAAATAAGCTATCCATACTAAACTGATACTTCCATAAAATTATTTTCCAAGATCTTTTTTAAGATTTTCAAATCATGGATTTAAAATGCAAATCCTGGCCTACAGAAGATCTGAAGAGAAAACAATAATTCTGGTTAACATATAAGTTTAAATGGAATAATATGCCTAAAATTCAACAGAAAGAGGATTTAGTTTTGATATAGAAAAGGTTGTCTTAAATCACCCTTATCCCCGAGGACTTCAAAATACATCGTTCTTGATTCGATCTCTCATCCTACCTTATGCATGTTAGCACCTTATGCAAGAAAAAGAATTTGGCAGTAAGCTCGGGGTCAATATCTCTCACCGTAATAGCCACAAAGTCTTCGTTTTTTAATTTGGAAATCGAAGATACGAATATTGTTGTGACGTATGAGTTTAGAAGTTCATCGTTTAAATTTTAAACAAAGAAATAATGGAAAGAGAGAAAACAACATCGATCTAATCTTTAAAATCTGGAGTGAGCAAAACGTATTCTCCCATTCAATTGAGAACAACACTTACTTACAAGTCATTCTCGAGTCCCACCATCAAAACACCCTTACAAATAAAATAAAAAAGAAGAAGTAATAATAACAAAAATTATACCTTCCTTCCATCTTTCCTCGCACATAAACTCCAATCGTTCTCTCCATCACCACGTGCTCCCTCTCCTCTCCGTCTCTTCTTCCTCCTCCAAAATCATTGCAAACGAGAGAGAGAGAGAGAGGGGGTACAAATCAAGAAAGAAACCATAGGGAGGGAGAGCACTGAAACAACAAATATACAGGCATGCATGACGACACGTCGTAGCAAAGAAGGAGTAATCAAAACGACGAAGATCCAAATCGAGTTACTACTACAATTCCACTAAATGCACGCGTACAATAGAATACCCAGCAGCGGCCACACAACACCGTCACCGCCTCAATCGCCGCTTCGTTCACCTAGGTACCGTCACGGAAGTGGAGGAGGAGGCCGGTCCAAGCCTGGCCGGTTCACCCCTTCTTCCTATCCGCCTGGACGGTCCCTCGCACACCGCCTCGCTTGGTTCCTCCTTTCTCTCCTCCTCCGCCGCCAGGGGATTTTCCTTTTCGCTCCTCTCATTTATATTTCTGGTATGCTTTTGTACATGGGAACGGTATCGTTCGATGTTGGCCCTATAATTGACCATAAGCCCGCTCCTGGTTCGGTTTATCGGAGCCCTCAGATTTATGAGAAGCTTCGACCGGAAATGGATTCCGATAATTCCTCTACTGATGCGGTGCGTTTTATCTATTTCTTTCTTTATTTTCTGTCATGATTTAGAAAGTTGGGATCTTGCAATACATACTGTTTGGCATTGCATGAATGGTAAATCAGAATCAAAGTGGATTTAACTATCTATATTTTTAATTATCACTTAATTTTATTTCATGTTATCAAATGGGCAGCTTGATATCGTTGGCTCTAATTTTTGATTTGTATAGCATTGTCTATAGAATTGGATATAACTGACTTCTGAGAAATGCATTATTTTAGTTCTAAAACCTCCTTTTTTTTTTTTTTTTTTTTGACTTTATCTGGAGTATCACTCCTGCATCAGCTTTTATTTTTATGATTTAGTCTTTACTTTCGTGTTCATAAGTCCGTGTTCATAAGAAATTGAATTCCTTGTAGCTATCAACCATATGGAAAAACTCGTATAAAAGTGGTGAGTGGAGACCGTGCATAAACAAGTCTTCTGAAGGTATGAATTGTGTCGAGGAGCTTCATTCTGCTATTTCTTTTGCTTCAGATGCGTGTTTCTTTTTAAAATATTTTAATCAGCTGCTCTTTAAAGTGTAGTTATGCTAATAGAATGTAGGGTGTTACATGATGCAATTGTTTGATATTAACCTTTATCGATAGCAATTAATTTTTGCTTGCTTTAGTTTTATGCATCTCTGCCATGTAAGATACTTGGATTCGGATCTTTTTGGTTCCAGAATTATGGTTTCCTTAATTAGACCTAATTAGATGCTAATGAGGCTTTGTTGCATTTAGTTGAACAGTAGCTTTATTGTGTGCGATTGTGCATTGCATTTGTTTCTGTTTAGGCTTGCATCAGTCTTTCCTGGATAGCGAGAGAAGTTACAGGAGCATGAAAATGTCTGTTTGGATATAATGGGGACAATCGTTTTGAGGCAGTTGTTCTGCTTAATGTTTTATAAAAAGATATGCTGCATAGGAATGAGATTGACTCCTCACTGTTTATACTTCTCCTCCATTGTAATTCAGTTGCCTGCTTTCTTCTGCCAAAAGAAGCTGGGCATCATTGAATCTGGGTATTCTGGTATTTGTATGGTTAATGATAGTAAGTTGGACTATTATTGCATTACATTATGTTACTACGTTCACCACTGCCGCCATTTTTAGCTCACCTTTGCAAGCATGATAGCTAATTCTGGCATTGCATCATGAATACCTGTTCTTGTGGTCACTCTTACTGCTATGAAACAGCAGAAAACAATGCTACCTTTCTCATTTTAATGCAGGCATTGGATGTATTGTAGCTTCCATTCTTAACCTGTCACAGTATTAATATCATTGATCAAGTATTTTTTTTTTTCCTGTGATAGAATCTTCGGGGATTTTTCTTCATGATTACAGATAAATAATATGTTTTCCTCACTATAAATACATGCCTATATCTTTGTAATCATGTTTTCCTTTTCTTTTTAAACTTTTTTGTTTCCTACATGTGTTCTTGTCTGAGTGCCTAGTCATGTCTTTATGTTTATCGAATTTCAGTGTTGTGGTTGTTTCATGATAGGCTTACCGGATTCAAATGGTTACATCTATGTTGAGGCAAATGGTGGCCTGAATCAACAGAGGACTTCGGTTGGTTTCATTCTTTATTTTTGTATATTTCATACTCATTAATGTTCATTATTTTATGCAAGCTACTTGTTCATTTAACAATTTGTCAATTTTGTATTCTCAACACAATTGTTGTGGATCCTTGTAGATATGCAATGCGGTTGCTGTGGCAGGCCTTCTTAATGCAACTCTTGTCATTCCTAAGTTTCATTATCATAGCATCTGGAGAGATCCTAGGTTTGTCAAACACCTGTTCTTCAGTAATGTTTTGGGACCAGATGACTAATATTGTGATAATAGGAAAAGATTACGAAAGCTTATTGGTTTGACTTTGTGAACTGAACTACTGAAGTAACTTACAGGAATACCACGTCATGATGTTGTATTATCCCTTTTTAATCTGACAAAAAGGTATTCATGATGTTGGGATGTTCTGATGGCTATAAGTTGACCTAACTATTGTAAAAGGCCGGTTTTAATTACAAATGCTCAGATTTCCCAATTTGGTCAAAACCAGAAGAAGCTGCTTAGTGTACTGTTAAAATGCACGCTGAAATCAAATGAACTTACAACAGCTCATGCTCATGCAATGCCTGTTACCTTCTTACCTGCCAAAATACATTAAAAAAAACTATTTTGTTTTCTCTGTCTGAGCTGAAAAACTTTTAGTAGGACACTAATTCTGTATTACAGTTTCCATTAGATCTGCTGTTAGACGCTGTGGATTTTCCATCTTCCTCCCCTTGGTCCTGTTGATTCTGGTTGATTGTTTCATTTATTAGTTATGCTAGATAGTATGAGTCTTCTGTTGAAGGAAATTTACAATATATTGAGTCATTCAAATAATGTATGATTTGGTTTAGTTCTTTGGATTTTTATATCTATGGTGAATAGCATTGGTTCATTCATACGTATTTTCAAATGCTGGTCAGATCCATTTGAATCCCTTGTGAGAGCTCCCTTTTACATTCTCTGTAAGACCTGCCATAAAAGTTGGCCTTGATAGAGTCAATTTTTAAATCAATTGAGCTTGGCTTCCAAGAGGGTATAGCTTGGTTGATTTTTTCGTTTTGGGACGTTTTCACTGATAAATCCATTGTATATTCATTTGCTTTGAAAAAATCAGCTTGAAGGTTGACTGGATGATCAAACTGTTGACATTAAAACTTTGGAGCTGTCTGTTTGCTTCAGTTGACCCTAGCTGTAGTTTTGGTACTTTACTTTAGGCGAGAATTCAATTAGCAGTTCTGTCCTACTTGTAATAGCATTCGACCAAGCTATGGTAGATAGTTATATATGACGCAACTTCATTAGATATGTCAGTTTTGATCCAAAGTAATTTTTTTGATGTAGGTCACTGGTAAGTACCATGTTTTTCCATATGCATTATTGTAAAAATTCAGGCCTGATTGATGTGCTATCTATTTCCCACTTTTTTCTTCCATTTGGGCTATATTTCCTGGTAGATGTCTGCTGCTATGAACGATGGATATTTTGTTGGGTAATGGGCAACTACTTTAACACCTTTACCTTTTATCTTTGCCATTTCCATGGGATTCAACCAAGCACACAAAGTTGTGAAATGTCCGTTTTTAGAATTCCTAACAAAATTGGCTCCTTGACTGAAAATTAGATGCTTTGGTTTATTTTAAATATGGTCATAGTTTGGTGGATGGATTTATTATAATAGATGATTTTGATTTTCAAACTGGTTTACATTGTGGTTGCTTGTTTGTTTACGTTCTACCTTTATGTGGGGGATCTCCAGCTGCTTTGTCTAGTGGTTGCTTGAAGTCCCCACTCTATGGCATGTTCCCTCATGTATTGAAAAATATGCTTCTTGGAGCTCAATGTTTTGTTAGAAATGTTGAATTTTTCTCTTAATGTTAGATATGCTTTCTTCAAGGTGCTCATTTGGTCCGAGAGATGCCTTTGTCTATCACTCATCTTTTTCACCGAACTAGCTCGTGAATGAGTGACATACATGCAAATTATATGTTATGTAATATTTCTATTTGAGAAAAAGAGTAGTTTATAAGTTGAAGTTGGACAAACAAATTGACAATCTTTTTTCATTTTTTACTTATTGATTGTGTTGTGAACAAAGCACAGCATTGTTTGCTAGTGAAATCTTTTTATTTTTTTCATTTCACAGTTTATGAGATAATTTGTGTAAATGATAATATTTTGTTCCAACCAATCTGATTTCATATAAACCAAAGCAGCTGAGTCTGGGTTTTACTTGTGCAGCAAATTCAATGACATCTATGATGAGGACTATTTTATCAGTACATTGGAAAATATAGTAAGGGTGGTTGATAAGATTCCTGAATATCTTATGGAGCGTTATGATAACAACTTGACGAATGTCCAGAACTTCCGAGTAAAAGCATGGGCACCCGTTCAGTATTACAGAGATGTTGTCCTTCCAAGGCTATTAGAAGAAAGGTGAGTGGTAAAGCTAATGTTAATTGTTACAACATAGTTTTCCCAATTTCAACTTGCCTATTCTGTGTTCCATCTAAACAGTAGGTCATTCTGGGCGTTCCCCTCAATCACTTTATTCTCTGGGTCCATTTGTGCTGATAAACCATAGCATCTCATTGATGCCTCAAAATGTGGGTTTGGCAGTTCCTGTGTTGGTTACACAAATAAGATTTGGACCTATTGGTATTTATTTATGCATGTTTGTCAAGGTCAAATTAGTGTAATCAGTTGTAATTAATTGATCACTTTCTTTTTTTTTTTTTCTAATGCTCTATAACAATTTATTTCACTCGCTGAAGAGATTTACATCTTAACATTGAAATTGTCTGCACGACTGAATTGATGTTAAACCTTAGATTCTGTATCTGACTATGGTGCTTGTTCCCTATTCTGAGTGCTTTCTTGAGAAGCTATTATAACCAACATATGAGGCAAAGTATTCAAATTGTAGGGAGGCAGTGTTGATGGGGAATGAAGAAAAACAACAATGGGAATTTTATATGACTATTTAGGAATTTTAATATCGTACAAGTATTTTTAGGAATATTATTATTTAGCAGTTATACAGGAATTTAATTTATTTTAGTTTCCTTTATGAATTAAGTCTATTTAGTAGGTTTCCTATTTTATTTGTTTTGTTGCCTATAGACAAGAACCATACTTAGGCATTCAAAAAGGGCGTCATATATTGATATCACAAAAGGAAATGAATTTTCTTCTAGAGAATTGGTTCTCTTGTTTTGTGGTTTTGTTCGTGTTTCTATGCCACAACAATGTCTTTTTTTTTTTTTGGAATGACATGACACCAGCACATTCTGATTGTGTTTCATGAGTCCCACCGTGTCTATCATTGATGACTGCTGAATACATTGCAATCAATGTTTATGACTCTTAATTTGAAGCACTAAATTTTCAAAACTGTCTCAGGGTCATAAGGATTTCTCCTTTTGCAAATCGCTTATCTTTCGATGTTCCTCCAGCTGTCCAACGGCTAAGATGTTTGGCAAATTATGAAGCTTTGAGGTTCTCAAATCCAATATTAACTATGGGAGAAACATTGGTTGCAAGAATGAAAGAACGCAGTGCGAGCCATGGTGGAAAGTATATTTCTATTCATCTTCGCTTTGAAGAGGTTAGTTGTCGTTAAATTAGCATTGTTTCGATGCTAGTGTTGTTTACTATTACTATCAACAATGGTTTTTTTTTTTGGGGGGGGTGAAATGTTAAAATTGGTTGCAAATGTACATTTGCAGGACATGGTTGCTTTCTCTTGCTGCGTATTTGATGGTGGAGAGCAGGAAGCTGTAGACATGAAAGCAGCAAGGGAAAGAGGTTGGAAAGGAAAATTTACGAAGCCTGGTCGAACTATACGTCCTGGGGCAATTAGGCTCAATGGGAAGTGTCCCCTTACTCCTTTAGAGGTACCATATACATTGGTATTCTGTTGCTTCATTCCATTAAAAATCAATACTCAAAATTCAATCATGTGTTCTCTTGACATAATCTTCTTGGTCAGTTAGGTGTAACATGCTTATGCTTAACACTTGGGTAGAAAACCATTGTGAATGCTAATCGTTGCCTTTTTTTTTTTTTTTCCTTTATAGTGAATGCTTGTTGGGGCATTCTAAAGTAAACTGGAAATATTTCAGCTGTTTTTTATCACTTCCTAAAAGTTGGTGGATAAGTAGGTGCATATGTTCTTCTAGCTCTGAGATGACTTGTGAATGGGTTTAGTTTACAACATAGGAAGCTCAAACAGCTTTCAACATGTCTTCAAGTAACCACATTGTTTATTGCCTCAGAAACTGTGACTCCCATAACTTTGCATACTTTTGAGTTATCATGCAAAATCTGTATTCTGTCACTATTGTTTAAATTTAAACTTCAAAAGGAAAGCAATTATTAACCCAACCATGAAGCACCAGTGAACGCATATGAAAGACAATCACTTCCTTACCTGAAATTGAGACTTCTCAGCATAATGAGGTTTCAATAAAGTTACCATCTGCTTGTGAAACTGTACAGCCTCTTATACATGTGCTGGTAGATTTGTGCATTTTGGTATAGTTGTCTCATAGCATGGTATTTTTTAAACCTTCTCAGGTTGGCTTGATGCTTAGGGGCATGGGTTTTGATAAAAACACTTATATCTATTTGGCCTCTGGAAAGATTTACAATTCTGAAAAATACATGGCCCCTCTGTTGGAAATGTTTCCAAATCTGTTAACTAAAGACATGCTGGCATTGGATGAGGAACTTGATCCATTCAAGGTATTGTTTGTGGTTTTCTCTCATCCATCTTTCGGATCTGATCAAGTTTTGTGTATTTGACTGGAGTTTCTGCATCCAGAATTATTCGTCCAGGATGGCTGCAATAGACTACACGGTGTGTCTTCACAGTGAGGTCTTTGTGACAACTCAGGGTGGCAACTTCCCCCATTTTTTGATGGGCCATAGAAGATTCTTGTATGGTGGACACTCAAAGACAGTCAGGCCAGACAAGCGAAAGCTAGCATTGCTCTTTGATAATCCGAAAATCGGGTATGGATTTATCTTATTGCTTTGAAGTTAGCATCCTCAAGTTTGATTTGACCCTGCATTTCATGAGATGCAAAAGTAAAATGATTGGAGAAAGAATTGAAGGGGACTGGACGTGTTTGGTTGTTTAGATAGCTCATTATTGAACAGAAGTAAGCACAGACTTTTTTGGTATTTCCTCTTTTTTTTTTCAGATGGAAGAGCTTCAAGCGACACATGCTGAATATGCGGTCTCACAGTGATTCTAAAGGATTTGAACTCAAAAGGCCTAATGACTCCATATATTCCTTTCCATGCCCAGATTGCATGTGCCGTGTGAACAGAACAGAAGATTCAAGATCATCTTCAGCGACGTGATCAACTTCGAGATAGATTTTGATGGTTGTTTCTTCTACTGGTATTTTTGTGGACCGATCTTGCTGCTGACTCCAATTTTTGCATCTCGTGATTCTTTCATTTTTTTTTCTCATTCTCACATGGTGGGAGGACATACACTTCAAGTTTGGTAGCTTCAAGGATTTAATGGAGTTCGCATCCGTCAGATTATTTCCCGGGTTATGATAGAGGGAAACTGCAACTTTTTGTACATGATGTCAGAGGATGCAGACTACATTCTTTCTCAGCAGAAATTACCCCGGGTATTAACTGAGCATTGTTTTCATACATGCTGCTGCAGCTGCAGCTGCTGTATCTAACAAGCTGTACAATGGCTAGTCAGATTCTTTTGTACCCTGGTTTTGTCATTGCTTGTAATTTAGTCGAAGTTTGATAGGCGTGTAAGACCCTAGAAACAGGACACGAATTTTGTGTACATTTGTGAAAATTCAGGGTATCAATTTTCCCTTAGCTTGATTTTTATTCCTTTTCTTATATTGAAAAAAAAAAAAAAAAAGAGTTGCATATATTTTCTTGCCTATCTCCTGATCCTGTATCTTGGAAAGACTCGAAGAGAAGCTTTCAATTGCTGATATTTTGCTTTAACATTTTTGGGCAACGAGTTAGGTACTGAGCTTTGCTATTTGACTAGTCTCTTACGATTGAATATTAAAAAAAAAAAGAAACGATTTGGAATTTCAAATTTTGGTCTGTATCAAAATATATAGACTAAAAGGGTCTAATCATTTCAAGACGATAAGTTAAGTTGAGTCACTTAACTTTATTTATTGATTTTGAAGATTTTTTTAGTTTTTTTTAGATTTAGTTAATTATTATCTTTTCTTCTAAAAAAAATTAAATTTTTGGTATTCTAAGTTGAAATTTTGCATGTATGTTATAAAAAATTCAATCTATTTTATAAAAAAAATTTCAGATTTTTTTAAAATTAAAAACTATATTTGTTTATTTTTTAACATAAATTATAGAAAATTGAAAAAAAAGAGAGAAGAAAATAACTCCTAAATAATCTTAAATTTTTTTAGAAACTCCAAATAAATATCTACTAATGATTTTCATTACAAAAATATTTATTTGATTGTTATTTTTAAGATAAATAAAAAAAAAAACTAAAAGAAGGACTAAATCAGAAAAAATTAAAAGTTCAAGATCTCCAAAACTAATAAAAAAGTTCATAAACTCAATCTTAAATAACTCAAAATTCAGAAATAGTTAAATCATTTTAGCCAAATATTTATTTCGTGAACATAGTTCTCCTCGTTTGAGTGAACATTTTCCAAATTCTAGGCAAGAATATGTTTCTTATAAATGCTCCAGTTTGATTAACGGTATATTTAAAATTCAAATAATTGAAGTTAATAAATATTTGTCTGTTTCCTTCTTATTTTTTCCATTATGAAAGCTGTCCTGTATCTTTTTGAATTTACGTTCTCCATGTTTTTAAGTTTATGTTCTTTTAAAAATATAAGAGGATTCAGATTATATCACTTCTAGATATAGACTAGACAGTTGCCCCGTTGTAGATTTGATAGAACAAAATCATTTTAAAGTTTTTTAATTTTTTATTTAATTAATTTTTTTCTAAGTTTTTTCATAAATTTTTTGCTTAAAAAAATATAATTCATTTTTTTTTATGGAGTGATTTTAAAATAAAAAAAATGTAATAATTATAATTGAAATATTAATCAAGAATTAAAAAAACTTTAAGAATATATTTTTCATAATATTGTATTCCAAAAAATAAATTTATAATTAATATACATTCTTTTATAAAAATTAAAAAATGATTTTTTTTTATTTAATGTCGTTGAGAAGATTAATGTTTGAAATTATTTGTGCAATGCTACCGGTAGATAGAACAAAATCATTTCAAAATTTTAAAATTTTTTTATTTAATTATTACTTTTATTTTTTCATAAAATTTTTGCTTAAAAAACATGATTTATTCTTCTTTATCTATGGATTTTTAAATAAAAACTTGTAATAATTTAAACTTAAAATATTAATTAAGAATTCAAAAATAAATACTTTAAAAATATATATATTTTTATAAGAATGTATTTAAAAACTAAAGTTACAATTAATGTATAGAATTGCATAAAAATTAATTAATGAAAAAATAAAATTTTATTCTTATTTAATGTTGGTGAGAAGATTTTTTTTAAAGTATATGCATTTGATATATATATAACATTAGTATAAAATATTATATTTGAATAATTAGTTGATTCCTTTAATAAAATATTTTAATTATTTTATTTCAAATAAACTGGTTCTATAATGTTTAAAAAATATTCATAGCAAATAATTTGTGTTATGTTCGAAGATATATAGTTAATTTTTAATGAAAATAATGATTCATTATTTTTTTTATACATCTTGACCATAATTAGTGAATTGAGACAAATTATTTGAAATATATTTTTAGCCTTTTAAAATAAAATAATTATATATTTATATATATACAATTATCTTTTAAAAATTTTAAGAATTCATGATATATATTATACTAATTTATTTTTAAAAAAGAAGAAAAAAATCATGTTTTAAAATTTTATTCTAAAATTCAAATATAAAGAAAAATAAATTATATTTATCAGTAAATAAAATTTTATGTAAAAAAATATTGATTGGATGAGAATTTTCATAAAAAAATGATAAATTCAAAAAATAAAATTTAAATAATAAATATAATATAAGCTGAAGGTATATATTAATTTAAAAATATAAAAAAATAGTATATATATATATATATACACAATACGTGAAAATGAAAGTATACGTTGCAGAAATCAAATTCGAAATTAAAAGTTTATAAACTAATTTTCAAATAGATTAAAATTGAGAAATTTTGTGACTCGTTTAGGCAAACCATTATTGACGATGATGATATGTACCGATGCTACACAAAGGAGGCATATAGACTCGAGGACAAAGCAAAACTGTGTGAGCTGAGTTACTATAGTTTGCAAGCGTGACGATCAAATTAAGTTGTCTCACTGAGGCTGCAGGAGGTCACACCGGGTGCAAAGGAGAAAAGAGAACCATTGAACCAAAAAAAGGCAGGCAAGGCAGCTGGTGCCTCCCTACTTTCGGCCAAAGTAAATTTAATGCTTAACAGACTACCTCAAGATTTTTCACTAGATTATAGCCGACTTCCCCTCGGCAATATGCTCTTTCTTTTGTGTACCATTTTCTTTACTGTTCTCTCTTTTTTTTTTCTCACATTGTCTGCTTTTTCAACCTTGCACCAGACATTCAGTGACAAAAACCCTGCAAAAGTTTCTGCGACAACTTATGGGCAGCAGCCCCCTTCTCACTCTCAGCAAATTTAAATGGGGTCTCTGGGTGCACCAGTTCCATCCATTATTGTTTTTTCTTTTAGATTGTGTAAGTTAAAGCTGTAAATTATAAAAAGACAGTTGGGTTTTTTTAAGAACGGCAGGACAGAAACTTGACCATTGATCAATAATGAGGCCCTCATCTGTTTTCGTAACCTCTCAGTTTTTTAATCAGAAGGCCAATTAGAGTATCTCTGTGTTTTTGCCATATATACGATTAGTAATCATTAGTCTTGTAGAGGAGGGAGAACCAAGGTTAATACCTAATGACTGGTAAGAATTAATCTAACTGCTATTGCATGGATGATTGGCTAACTTAATCTTTTTATGTGGGTGCAAAGAGAATTAGTGTTTCTTGTCAAAAGTCATAAAATCGTCTAAATCCACAAATTTAATTTTATATTACTTTTTAACACATTTCTTAAGATTCACTCTGTTGCAATGTGCTAAATCCTTTAAGTTGTGTTAAATTATATTGAAGTTCATAAATAATTTTATATTATTTTCTTGTACATTTCTTCAAATACTAACCACTATATTTTGTACTAAATTATATAAGAAAAAAAAATGGAGATGGTGATAAACCTTTCAAATGTCTGCCACTACTTTATGCTAAATTATGTAAAAGTTTAGAAATAATTTTATATTATATTCTAACATATTTTTTTAAATATTCACTTTATTTTATATTAAATTATATGAAAAGAAAAAAAATTAGTGAAATTCAATATTATATCAATTAACTATTTTAACTTAAAAATTTAAATTATTAATTAAAATTTTAAAAATTATTTTATATTATTCTCTCGCGTTATAAATTGAATCTGTAACCTCTTAGTAACTATTAAAAGGCCGTTACCACTTGAGCTAGAAGTACATAAGTTAGAGAAGTTTTACGGACCTAAGCATATTTTCCACGACATTCGAATTCCTCACCACGTACGCAAAGCAAACGCAAGAAAATAGGCTTTCACTGTTCCACAGTTTCCTAAAAATTCCCTGTTACTATTGTGATTTGCAGAAAAAATGCCATCCATAACAATCAACTGTAACTTTTCTATCGTCGTTCTTTAGAGGACAATGCCCTTTTGCAATTAAATTTTGAGATTTCAATCTTGAAGTCTTTAAGAATTTAAACTTTGTTTTTTTTTTTAAAAAAAAGAATTAAGGTTCGGACTTGAAATCGAGAACATATAGCTCCCCTAACACCATTTGTATCAAATTATCAATCAAATCATCAACTCTGCGAAGCAAGATTTGCATTGGAGGATACTAATAGGTTCCATTATAATTAAGTCTAAGTCTATGCAGATTGATAATCATTAACATTTATCTAAAAGCTTAAACTATTAAATTATGCACCTCTTTCTACTTATTCTAAACTTACAAGAGTTTTTTCCATGCATTGTCATAATATTATCATCACCATATGGTAACTAATCGCGTTCTATGAAAATCGTATATAATTCTGCTTGAAAAAGCATATAGAGCTATATATGCCTTTGTCCTAGTTTTATCTAATTGGTTTCAAACGATGTGGGTGGTCGAGTTCCTTCTTATTGAATAAAATACTACACTTTATTCTAGTATAAATCTTATGAGCCAACATGCATATATCCGCAGTGAGTTCAGATTCAAGGTCATTTCAACATCAAGCTCTTTCACATCCATCTACTACGTCTACATAATAGACAATCTTGCCTACAAAGCACCTTTATAGGAAATATTGGAGGTCTACCTTGGTTTAACGAACCCGGTCCCAAAGCATTTTAAGGCAACATCCCAAACAATACTATGCGTCCTTATCCTACAGTTCCTCTGTATGCATGATGTGAGCAGAAAGAACAGTCTCCAGTTCCCTACTAGAAAACAAACATGAACATATAAACCACCTCACTTATACAGAAAGGCAATTCAGAGTTGCATTGTAGCCACATGGGTAGCTGCAGTTGTCCTTCAGTTCTTCAGAGGAAGAAACTCAAAATACTGGCTTGGACTGAAGTTGGTATTTATGGTCCTGATGGGTACTTTTCTGTCTTTCTTGGTACCAATAGTGCCGTTACGATCACTACTGCAAAGAGGAAACAGCTGAAGAGTTTGAACTTCCCAAATTTCATCATCATGATTTGCATGAGTTTCTGTCTTGGTGGGTCTCAACAGCGAACCATTCTCTTCGAGGCTTAAGCATTTTGACGTTGTTGTGGCAATGGTGCTTGTCAAGTGGTGGACGGGAGTAGAGGAAGACAAATCCATAGTTTGCCGCATGGCATGCATATCAAGACCGCTATTTTTCATCTGTTGTAATTCCCTCTCCTCAAATTCTGACCACCCATATGTTCCTCTTTCTGCTATTGCTGCTCCATGCACAGTAACAGGTCCCTGAAAGAAAACAAAAGTAATAAATAAAAAGCCAAGTACGCAAGGAATGCAGCTTTTGAGCCTCTTCCTTTTCCAACATGCAAAAGCTCTTTAACTTGCCTTTTGACCTCATGATCAAATAATTGTATCAAATTATTTCACTTTTTGGCTGTTTCTTTACTCTAACCATTGGAAACATACATAGGTCAAAGATAATGTACCAACCCCTGCATGCTCACTGCAGTTTGAATGAGGTACCAAATTCTTTGTTTGATCAAGTCCATGAGCTGTCCTCCTCAGCCCTATTAACAAGGGAAACAAAACAAAGAAAATGACATCTCAAAAAGTCAAACAAGAGAAGAAATCGCATCAACTATCACAGTTGATTTCTCTGATACAAAAAGAACAGCAAACAGTCAAACGAGAGAAGAAGGGGCAAGAAAATTTCCCTTTTTCTTCATCTCTTTTTGTTATTCTTTGATGAAAAGAGCAACAAGATTACAAGAATATTAAACATTTCTGTTAACACACAACCATAAAAACCTAACTAGCCTAAAAAAGGAACAATAGGTGCAAATATTGTGAAAGCAAGCAAAAAAAATACCTGATTCTTTCAGTTTATTCAAGCTTTCATGATCAATATTATTGTGTTTTTGTTGTCCTTGACGGCGATGGCGTTTTTGTCTCTCTCTTGCCTTGTGGTTTTGAAACCAGTAAAACACATTCTTCGCTTCAATCTTTCCAAACGTACGAAGCTCTGAAGCTATTTGTATGATTTGGTCAGTTGTTGGAGTTCGAGTTCCGCATCTATACTTTTCTTCAAGTGCTAGTAGCTGCTCTGCTGTTGGGTTCCATCTCGAACTTCCCATTGCTTCTGCTTCCTCCTTGATGAGTTCTCTCCCACTACTTTGTTCACAGCTTGTTTTGGCTGCATGCACCAATTTCAATTACATATGTATGTAAACGTACATAAATAAATTGAACTAAATTACTACGTGAAGAGAGAAATGTTGCAGGCATACCAAGATGGTGTTTTAGTCCTACATATGTGAGGGAGGTTACAGTAGTATCTGTGAAAAGGGCAGTAGTGTTGGGCTTTGGGTTGAAGAAATCATTCATGCTAGGCTCATTATTGTCTACCACCATTCACCATCCACATGGTGAAGAAGCTAGCTATAATTACCCTGATTCTTTCTCTCTCTGCCTCTCTCTCCGCCCGCCCTGGAAGCTCTATCTAGGGAATGATCTCTTTATAGACCTAACAAGGAACAAGAAAGGGGATGCAGAAATAGAGAAACTTAAAATTAAGGCATTTTGGATTCAACCCAGTAGAAAGAAGACAGCATGTTGACCAAGCCCTCACAAAAACACGCTGAGAGAGAGAGAGAGAGAGAGAGAGACGACAAAGCAAAGGGCTAAATAAAATCTGTGAGACATAGGGAGACGAGCCAAAAAAAAAATTGTTAACTCCTTTTTTTTTTTTTTTTTGGGTATGGGTTGGGCTGATGACTGTCGAATGAAACAATGGGACACTTGTTTATATATATATATATATATATATATATATATATATATGTATGTTTCCATGAACAAGAGGATCTCAAATTAGTTTTAGACATCAAGATTCATATCTTTTATATGTTTGACACACAGAAAAATTAACCCCCTTCCCTTTTTTAGTATTAGTAATGCCCAAACTGAGAGTCTCAACTTCTGTTATTTTGCATTAGCAATGAGCTGTTAACATCCAAGGTTGGTTAATTCAAATGCACCTTGGTAACTAGGTGGGCTTCTCACTTTATTAATTAGGTTTTACTCTGAGAGAAGGCTACGAGGATGTGTCGTTTCATAAAGCTGTATAAAAACATGTTTTTGATCCGATTGGAAAAATAGATTTAATCTTTATACATGCAAATTAATTAATTCTAAAAAAACTCATAACTGTGAAAATAAAAAAATAAACAATTCTTGCACTCCCACGGTACAAACTAGAGCACAGTTATATGCATGCCTACCCACACTTGCATGAAATAATCGGATCCGGATCCACCAAGAGAGGAAACGATTTCTGTCTACCAATTCAATTATGAATGAGCTATCCAAAACTGACATGTGAGTGATTCATCTCACTACCTGAAAGTTGCTTATGAAAGTTGTTTAAAGATACCGTAACTCTTCACGAAAATAAACCCTACTGTATTGGCGCCTTTGAGATTATAATTCAGAACCATAATTTTGAGTAATAATAATAATAATTTTGAACTTATCATACACACTCTTGATATTTCGAATCTCCTGACCCTCATAAGTTGCTGTTCGCCGATTCTATCATAATCAGAGTATCAGAGTGTCTCCTTTTTACATTTGAATCAACCGCTGTGCCAGTGCCTCCTCTTCAATCACCAGTCGCCGCCACGTACCTAGCTAGCTATGGCTAACTAGGCTCCAAGTACTACATGCGTCTCAAGCTATACGTTACACACTGCAATCGTTATAGCTACTAAAACTCCGTTGTGTCTTGTGCCATCAGTTCCATGATTTCGGTTCTTATGTCCACTCATTGTTAACTGCACAAATTAAAATGCAGGCAGCACTTATTACATATAGGGCTACTACACAGCTTCTGTAACCTTAAATACTGTAGCCTGCAACTCTCTCATGACATATGAGGAGGTCTATTTGTTGAAAAATGAAAAAAAAAATTTCTTTATCGTACAGAAATCTAAAAGCGAAGCACATTATGCTCTGATATATTCATGTCCCCAGCAGTTACTCTGCATCACTTGTTCCCGGGATCTGTTTAGCTTCAGCTGGGTCATCATATTAGACCGGACAATACAATTTTTTACGGGCAAAATCTGTGTTTTGTCCTTCTTGGAGTAGAACCATAATCATATTATTGCTAGGACGTGTCAGTGAGCATGATAAACTCAGAGAAATCAAACATGATTACACGAAATACATGACCATCTTGGATAACATACGTGTTGACAATTCGTGATCAAATCAAAAGTAGAGATCTAGCTAACGCGGGACCAGGCATGCGATCGGCTATTGGTGATCATAATGAAGAGTGCTACATGCCATTCTTTGCTAGTACAGTGAAAAATATACCTGATAGATAATAGCAATCGATAGCTGGGTTCTACATTTGATTTAAAGTAGATGAAGCAATTCTGTTTCATACAACTGATTGTGATATACAGACAGAAAATGCTGCACATCTTTAATCAGTATTTCAGATAAATGGCTCTTATGCTGAATATAGCAACTGCATTTCTTTTTAGATACTCTACGTGATAACTAGATTGGAAGAAATTATGAAACCCAATGAATGTTGGACCGTTGAGCTACTAGAAGCTAACTGCAAAGAGCAAATCTATACCTTCCTCCCCTTGCCTGATTGAAGGAAGACAAAGCTATCACCAAAAAAAAAAAAAAAAATTATAGCCATTCTGGTGTTTGAGGAGAAGCTTCCAGCCAATGGGTAAATGAATCATAAGAGACTGATCTGAGATATATGCACTACTCAAGAAGCTTGTTACAGGTGCCAACACCAATAGCTGCAGCAAGATGCCAACCAGCATGAAGGAAAGGAGTAGTAGGAAAGCAATCATCAGCAATGAAAAGAACACCCCCCAACAACGATGACATCTTATGCAAATTATGTGCCATCCTTAGATCTGGATCTTTTAATGCTCTTTTTGCAAATGCTACCTAGAAAGAATAATTAAAGGAAATCCAGTTATTAACAATAAGAGTGTACCCATAAAAAGTTGAAGACATTCCCAATTAAGAAGTTCAAATTGCAACCAATGAAGGAAATGAATATATTAATCTTGGTGAATATAGGAGTGTGAAATCCACACTCTGACTTTTGGTTTTCAAGCTTTCATTGGTCACCTCATTGGCTTCAGTAATATAGACACTCCATGCACGCAGCAGGGTGCTGATATTCAAACTATGTGATGCTGTTCAGTAACTAACAATTTCTTGCAATCATAGTAACTAAGCTAACAAAGCACGAAGGAAAAATGAATACCATTCCAATATGTAAATAAATTTTCAGCATCACTATAGTTTCCTGACTATTCAACAATGGAACTGTATGTGGCATCATCATTTTAGTCACAACGTTTTTGGACCAAGGCAAACCAAACTCTAATCAACTTTACAAAATCAGAGGTATGAAATGAGGTACTTTACCTCCATCATCCCTGTATGAATAGCAGAGACCATCAGAGGCTGGACAGGCAACAATGCTGCAGATGCAGCCATCAAAAACTTTGGGTTCTCATTTCTTAGGGCACCTGACAAACACTGCAAAAGGTAATTCAGTTATCAAATTCATGCTAATGTAGCTCAAATAGTTAAAAGAAAAATTTGAGAAGACAGCATTTCTTATTAGCTAAGGAATAACTAAACCAAACAGCACAGCAGAACTTCAATAAAAAGTTCTATTTGCAGTTACTTTGTTTCCTTCTGGGTTCGTCTTTTTGGTTAATGATCAAAGTATCCACAGACTAACTTTCTCACATTGGGACTAAGTCCAGCGGGCGCTTGGCAACTCACTAGGCATGCTACCAATGTCTGATTTTGTGTGTTCGTGTGAAAGTACTTTCTAATGGCCTCTCCTTCGAATTCAACCCAAGATGGTATCAAATAATTTACAATCTAGACACCCTCCTTAAGGAGGAAGAATAGAGAGAATATTTCTATTACAGTTACACCCTCATGGGAGGAGAAGAGTAGTTCTAGGAATGCTGCAAGATCGGTGTTCATATGTGAAATTAAAAGAAGAAAACATAATATGGCAGAAGGCAAGCCATTTTCCAGCACTGCAAACTTTTTCAAGAAGTCAAAAGGGGGATATAGAACACTGGCATCTGAAATGTGGAAGACTTGAATGCTAAAAGGCAATATAGCAAAGAAGAGGATTTGAAATGCATTCAATCATGAGAAGATGTATATAGAGATAATGGGGAAAATCTTATGAGATGAGATGTGATGAGGTGAGTTGAGGTGACCCATGGCTTCCGTAAAATGAAAATCAAGATTTTGTAGATTCATAACTTGGGGTATTCAAACGGGTCATAAGACAAGTATACACCTGAAGTCGGAACACAAAAGAAGCAGAAGAAAATATAAAACGAACACTCAATTTATGATGCCACTGATTACACCAGGTGGCCCAGTTGCCTAATGTAATATAAAACTGAATGAAACATAAAGCACATGAACACTTTAACTGCTTTATCATTGTCGTCATCGTTGTCGTTGTGGTTGATTTTAACACTGAAAGAAAGGTGGAATCATTTGAAGAAGAAAACCAATTTTAAAAGAAACAGCTAAACCAGATACGTGAGTGGTCAGGACTGAGAAATATCACATCTAGTTACAAATAACATTCCAGTTTAGCATATATATTCAAATATACACATGCCTATAACCTTGATAGTATAGTTCTGCTAAAATGTAAGAGTTAATTTGGACAACTTACTACTGTCGCTGTGGCTATCATTGTATAGTCAAGCCATCTCATATACTTCCTCGGCTTTCCTCTTGAACAATGATACAAACTCGAGGCAACTCCCACTCCAATTAACGAGTTAGCATACAACTTAGTATTCAAGTTCTTCCTGTATATACAATAGAGCAAAGAATCAGACAAAGATACAACAATCTTTATAATGCATCTCAAGGAAAAATATTACTACCTTGGAGCCTGGATACCGAGAACAATAAAAGGAAGAGAAGTAATCACATTGGCAACTGTTTCTGCAAGATGCCGATCACCTAGTGAAAGTATGATACATTAGAGAGCATATTGAATGCGATATATCCATTGGCAAACTTTCAAAAGTTGTATTTATATTTGTAATACCATGAATACAGCCCTGGATAGGCCTCAAACATCCTGGTCTTTGCTGCCATACTTTCCTGGAGAAGAAATAAAAGACAAGTTATTATTGGTGGGATTTCAACAATTTAACATTTTTATGACTGTAGACTTTCAATATATCTTAGATGTGGGGATAAACAGATTTTGTGTTGGTGCGATGATAATTAGCAGTGAAACTTATTTTCCAAGTAAAATTGGTTGAAAGGTTTCACACTTACTGCATCAACAGCAGCTGGTTCAGTCCATTGCCTGAACTTTCACAAGTTGATTGAGGTAAGTCCTCCTGTTGATTGATCTCTTTCAAAGCAAATGGAGAGTGAGGGACAACATGGATGCCATGCAAACTGTCAAGGGTTTTACTGGGATTGAATGCATTCTGGTGACCCATAACGTCAAAGAATGATTGCCAGCAAGATTGCTGGCATCAAGGGAAAAACTGAATATTCTGCTCAATTTCTGCATCAAACAGAACACAAATTCATTACACAGTGTGCACTTACTTGGTTCTATCAGAAATTAAACTGCCCTTTATTTGTTTACAATTTCCATTCAAAGAAAATATATCATAGTTGTTCAAGGGAGAAAATTGTCCTGATCATATAACCAAACAAAATTGGAAAACGAACTCAAAACTTGCGTATTCAACATGAGCAGCAACAACACAGAGGGCACGTCAATTATCTATTGCACTTTATGGATGTAAACAAAGAAAAAGTATTTGAATAGCATTTACACACCCTTCACAATTGCCACCTGGCTTCTAGGTAGAATCTGTAGATAATACTAAAATCTTGGAGTCCAGCCTCACTGTCATCATGTTTAAGGAGTTTATGGCTAGGAATAGTCATAACTGCCTGAATGCCATTTCGAAACATGACTCACTGAGCAAAGAATTAATCTCAAACTAATTGGGTCAGTTTTATTTTTTTCAATCTTTTTGCTCCATCCAAGGCCATATGTTCCAAAAGATTCTATGAAATTAATCTCACCTCCCTATAGTTTAACCTACATCATTTTTTTCCCCTACAGTACTCTACCTTTCACCCACATCATATAAATCTTCCATACACGTTCATTTATAGGCTCATTGTTTTACATGGCCGTATCATATTAGACAATAAATTTTCCTACCTACCGTGATTAGCGTAACCTCCACCTCCATACGAATTTGCTCATTTGGTTACAAGGTGGAAGCTACAAAGCTAATCAAAAAAATCTAACCAAGAAAAATCTTATCATAAACATATGAACATAATGGAAGCTTATGGAGCCAATTAACAAGCATTTCTGAGAAACTAAATCAGAAATAAAATTGGTATGACATCCATCAAATCAATCCATCCATCTAAATGATAATGAAATCCAAACTTATGAATGCCATACTTAATGGAATGGAACGAATCCAAACTCGTGATGTCTTATTCAATTGCAAGAATTCCAAAATTTTACTAAGAAAACTCTAAAGCTGCTTCTAGCAAAACCCCTCTTACGTCTCATCAATTCCTTAATCAAAAAGTATTTAATGCAGCACTTAATTAACAAGTCTTATTTTTCCTCAAGGAGGGGAAAAAAAAAGCAGCCCTTCTACAACTGGTTTCATAAAAGAAAGAAAAAACCCAACATTTGTAAAGAACCATAGGATCATGAGAATACCACACTAAGCATAACAGACACAGATGAGCACAACCATTTTGTAGTTTCAATTAATTAGAACATTAATTAGAACACATGCAGAAAGAAATAGACATAAATAAACAGATTTATGGTTATGGTATGAAGAGAGAGGCATACCCGAGAAGATGTGTCTGATGAGTTAAAGAGGAGAGCAGAAGGGGAAGAGGGGTGGAATGTTTATAGGAGGAGGAGAGGACAGAAAGAAGGAGCTGGAAGAGTTTGGTTGGGAAGTTGAATGAAAAAGTGGGTACTTCTGTTATTTGGACAAGGAAAGAGAATATGGGAGGGAGAGATGCGCATGAATCCCACGAATCTTCTTCCTCTTTTTATTTCCTCTCTCCGCATATTCCAACTCTCTGAAAATATGTGCCGTATGGTTTTACATCTTGTGATAGGCTTGATCTTTCTGCCTAGCGAAGATTAGACCATCATTAGTGAGGGATGTGTTAAAGATCAAGGATTAAATTTGGGGTGACTCTACATATGATGCCCGCATTAATATTTTACTTTTAATGATACCACTAAATTTAGCTTTAATGATTTGATTAGCATTAATATTATAAAATATGTGTTTTTAATTTTTTTTTTGGAAAGGCCATTTGGTCTCAAATAAAGCACAACTTAATATATATTAAAAAAAAAAAAAACAAATTGGTATATACATTGTACAATTATACTAACGCCAACGTTGCAGGGACCTTTAAAATTGCGTTAAGGGATTGGATTTAGGGCCTATCAATGGTTCGAGGTTTACTTTACTTGATTTCCTTCCTATTTATAGTGCAGAGTTTACTTAATATATATATATATATATATATATTAATGAACCAAGAAAAAAAAAGAGGAGGAGTTCACATGGCTTCCTTTATGATGTTCTAAACAGTCGATTCTAAAAAAAATAAATGTTCTAAATAGTTTGACAAACTCCAATACGAAGGCCCATCTACTCTTTAGAAAACAATGCAACATTCCTAAACCACAAAGCCCGTAAAATACCCAGTCCCATCAAGTAAGCCATATAAACAAGCCCAAACCCTCTTCCCAGGCTCCTATATGATGTAGATGTGAATTTGTGAACAAGGTTTTGAACCTCCTTGAACTTGTTGCCATAGAATCAGTCCTTATGTACAAATTTTGTTATTTTTCACAATAATTTACTATTTTTTTAATACTTGTCAATATCATCTTACATGTCAGGCTATCTATCAAAAACTAATGTAGAGAGGCTGCCTCAGGGGTGCATTCTTTCTTTCTAGTTCGAGGAAATAAATCTTTGATACAGTCTTCAGGACATTTCGATTTTTTTATATTTTATTTTTTATGGCTGCTTTCAGAGTGGTTTTATCATCCTCCCTGGATGAGCTATTGGTTACAGTTAACTCCTCGTGATTTCTTTAGGCTTCGACTTTTATGTGTTTTGTTCCAAACAGGAATGAATGCATACTTTGTTAAGAGATGCGTTAGAATGCATGGTTGTGGTTTTGAGGGGGCCATTTCATAAGAGTGTCTTTAAAATTTTATAAATTTAAGGATGGTTTGAAAAGCTTTTGAACTTTGGTGGATGTGGGATGGCGGTGCAGGGCCACCTTAGGCACTCCCTGGATTCGTCACAAGTTCTAGGGCCTTGCTCTGATTGCGTTTGATCTTTTGAGACCTTGCTAATTTGTATTCTATGTTCTTCTTAAGATCCCTCATCTCATGGAGTTTAATTCAATTTCTCAAAAAAAAAAAAAAAAAAAAAAAAACGAAGTAAATTGGTTATAGCAAAATAGCACCTATGTTTTTTATTCAATTAATTATTTTTTCGTAAATCCATGATAAGAACTTATGAAATAACGATCACGAGGCCACGTTACATCCTTCTGAAAAAAAAAAAAAAACAAAACAAAAAAAAGGAGGTTCGAACAGCCCGGGCGCAGGCTGGGGTGTGATTCTGGTTGGGCTTTGCAGTCCAGGTCTGGCCGAGAACAATTCAAAACGATAAAAGAAGGTTTAAACTCACCTCGAGTGCCACTGTAAATACATTATATCATACACACACTGATATGGAGACAAAAAATCTTAGTAGCCAAAATAACAGGGATGTTCACTATTCAATTTTAATAAAAAAAAAATCAAATTTGATAGAAATATCAATTTCAATTCGATTTTTTAGTTAATTTTTCTAAATTGAAATTATTTTAATTTTTGGGTTTGGCTCGATTAAATTTTTTTTTTATTCAATTAAACTGATAAACCAATTTTTTTTTTTTAGTATAAGTTTTATGAAACCTTAATTTCTAACCCAAAACACCCCACTCTTTCTTTTCTTTCACGGCCACCCAACACACCTGGCTCTTTCTTTTCTCTCTCTCTCTCTCCCTCTCTCTCGAGTTGGGTATTATATCATTTTTTACCTCCAAAGTATTGTATTTTGGCAATTTCAAGCCCATAACGTGAAATTGCATAATTTAGACCTTTAACTATTCGGGCTTGGGCATAGGTGATCCAAATTGCTCAATCCTTGTTATTTTTAACGATCAATCGTCGATTAATCGTTACTTAATTTTTATTTATTTTTAGTTAAAGCCGAGAGGACATCTCGCCTTACCTCTTTCAATTCCTCTCCTAAAAAATTAGGTTTTAATGGGAAAGATTAATTGGAGAGAAGGGGAGAGATTGCGAGATTGATAGCAATTTTGTAAGAGTTGTCTCTTAAGGGTTAGATTTAAGTTAGGTTTTTGGCTAATTAAAGTGAATTGGGGCTAGAGAGAATGAGTTAGGTCTTTGTCAAAATCTTCTACAAGTCTTGTCATCTTCTTAAATTTCGACTAGGATTGAGAGAATTAATGGCTTCCCATTCGTTTTCTTTTTCTTCTAAATCATCAAACGCAAAACCCTTTGATGTGGAAAATATTTCTTCATTGTTCATTCAAAAACCTCGGTTTGATTATCTTGATGATTCACCTATGAAATACTCAACACTATTAAGCTTGATAAGCCGGTTTTCAATAGTATTTACTATGTTACTCCTCTTCAACTTTTCTTAGTAATCTTGCGAGCATGGAGTACTCAACACTCGTCATCATTATGAAAATACCTCTCTAGCTTGGTCAAGACTTTGTTATAACATAAGTTCTCTTTAGCTTATGTTTTCACATCTTTTTTATCCATTTTCAAAGAAATAATTTCAAAGTTCTTGATTAAATACTTTGCTACCACCCGTGCCTTAATCCTCTTATTCTTAAATACAACTTAATATATATGTTCATCTACATATGTTCTAAGTTTAAAGTTACATGTTTGCCTTTTATATCTTGTATACAACACCCATTCATCTTTCTAATCACTACACTTTGCTTTAACTCTTTGTCTATCATGCTTGACAAATTCAATCTCTCTTCTTTTAGCTGCACAATGATCTTTTAAAACTTGAGTGATTTGTTTTATTTGTAAAAGCCATGCCAAGTGAAAACTAAGGATCTTTAGTAGTGTCATCAAAATACACAATTTTGGATTTTTTTCTCCTTACATGATCACCATCATCATCACCACTTGATTTTTGACTTCCATTTTTATCCAAATCAAACTCATAGAAACCCATACAAATTACCTCTTTTTTAGTATCATTACCTTTAAGTCTTTGGCTATTGGATTATGAAGTATTAATTGGTAGTTCTTTAAGGATAGCTATAATATTTTTTTTGTCCCTTGGATTGTTTCAACTCCGTAAAGTTATTCCTAACGACCACTAGCTCATCATCATAATTTTCGGTAAGCCATGACATATCTATTAATTTTGCCTTATCATCCGGTTCCAATACACTATCATAACCATTCACATCATTCTCACTGTCGTTTAAACCGGACTCATTATTTTCTCTTTCTTCATTGCCCACCTCCTATTACTACCCTCAACATTATCACCATCTTTTTTTCAAACGTCATCCGACACAAGTACTACCTCAATGCTTCTAAAAGCATATCCGACATTGTGTTGGGTGTCATGCTACCCATGTTTCCAACAACAAACATCCATATTATTAAATTACCATTTCCTAGTAATTACATCAATACCCTTATTTTCATAAGAAATTACAACATTAATAAGCCCAATGCCATTGTTACCCTCACAATTCCTACCCTCAACATCCATATTTTTCCTCACAAGCTATTCCTAGACCACATTGTCACTACCATCCTCAAGATCAATCAATTTATTCTCATGTTTCACTAACTTAATTGCATCCTTCACGAGAAAACTCCATATTTCCTTGCTCAAGAAAATCATCTAAATATGAAAACAAAGACTCTTCATTATATATACATATCAACCGAGTTTCTAATGTGTCACCATTCCTCAAGATCGTACAATATATCTTTTGAGGATCAACCCATCCATAACTTTTAATAAGTTTTTCAAAGATAGAAATGAAAAAAATCAATGTCAACCAATTTAATATTACACACCATTAATGCACTTCAAGTTAGGATTTCGAACAAACCTTTCCTCCAATACGCAATAACAAGATTGAATTCGGTATTGCACCATAGATTTTGATAAAACACCAATAAAAAAGCAAAAGATGACAATAAAAAGATAGACTTGAAGATCTCTCTACCCCAATTCAGTTCAATTAGCTAAAAACCTAACCGAAATCTAACCCTTAAGATACAACTCTCCTTAAATCACTATCAATCTTGTAATCTCTCCTTTTCTCTCTTTTTCAATTAATCTTTCTCACCAAAACCTAATTTTTTAGGAGATTGTATGTTGTCTCGTCTTAACCCTTTCAATCCTCTTGATTTCAACTATAAAAAAAAAAAGTAATAATCAATTGATAATTGATCGTTAGAAAGAACGAGAGATTGGACAATTTAGATCATATTATTTTCTCAATCTCCAATACTTTAGGGTTTAAATTATGTAATTTCATACTTTCGATTTGAAATTGCCAAAATACAATACTTTGGGGGCAAAAAATGTCGTAATACCCTTACAAGTGCCTTCCCTTTAACCCCATATCTAGATCCCACACACACTCTCTCTCACAACCCCCTCAATCTCACTCTCTCTTTTATCTCATAACTGCTTCCCCCTAATCCAACCCCTTCACGACCTCACCCTCTTAGTCTTACGAGTTGTTTCCCTTCCCCCTTTTCCTTTTTTTGGTGAAGAAGAATAAATCTTCCCCTTTTAAAGGTGAAATTATTGGAATTTATGGTTTTCTTTTTTAGGTTAGTGAAGAATAATAA